GATTGATAAATAGTTTTTCTTATTCCTTCAGGCTTTGTATCATACTTGGAAAGGCCTTTCCTCAAATTATTCTTAAAAAAGATATAATGTAAAAATGATGTTATTATATAACCAAGTTTATATAAATAGTGACTGAGCAATGGTGGAATGAAAGTTCTGAAACAAAACTATGTCTGTTGTGTTTTTTAGGTTTTCTCATGTGTTTTTTAAAAGAGTTGGCAGAATATCATCAGGCTAAAGAGAGTTGTGACACAGAAACTCAGACAAGTTCGACATTTCCTGGCAAAGACTCCCTTGGTAATTATAACCTACTTTCTTAATTCCAGTTCTGCTATTTTCTTTTCAAATGAAGGAAATTACCTTATTTACCATATCATGTGGTGGCTCCTTGAACTGGAGATATGTAACCTGCAGGTGGCAAGGGAATTCATTTCTTCTGGAATCAAGTTAGGAGGAACGAGGAGTTGCTCTCCAATGTCATTCCCTATCCTCGAGGATGCCAGGGCTATGTTGGTCACATCATGCAGAGATCCAAAGGCCCACATTCTTCTTATTGTTGGGTTTGACCTCTTTTAACTGGGAGATTCTTCCTGGTGTCTTGTCTAACTTTATTTTACAGCCACTAAGTGGAAGATCATAGACTATTTGCTTTTGGAGAGCTAGAGAAGTCATTGGCCCATGACTTTGTTTTATAGTGAAGGAAGCTAAGGTCCTAAGAGGAAAAGCAACTTGTATTTTTTTTTGTTCTTTTTGACAGCAATTTCACAAAGAAAAGAAGAGCAACTTGGAAACACCCAGTCTGGGTCTGAACTGATAGTAGATAGAGTTCAAGTTTTCTGTTCTATGATCTAGAGCTTTTTGCTTATGCAGCTTTTGTACGATATCATCCTGCCCTTTAGTTTTGTACTCAGTAGGGATGGGAAACAGCTGTTTAAAATGATTTTCTTAGCCTATTTCTTAGACTTCCCTTACTCTTTTTTATTTTTATTTTTTGAGACAGAGTCTTGCTCTGTTGCCCCAGGTAGAGTGAGTGTAGTGGCATCATTGTAGCTCACTGCAACCTCAAACTCCTAGGCTCAAGTGATTCTCCTGCATCGGCCTCCTGAATAACTGGGACTACAAGCATGTGCCACCGTTTATGGTTAATTTTTCTATTTTTTGTAGAAATGGGGGTCTAGCTCTTGCTCAGGCTGGTCTAGAACTCCTGGCCTCAAGCGATCATCCCACCTTGGCCTCCCAAAGTCCTAGGATTACAGGCGTGAGCCACCATGTCCAGCAGCCCTTACTCTTAAATAGTAATAGTGCTTTTAACTTGTAAGAAGATATGTTCATAATTTGTAAAAACTGTATTGTATGACTAGGCCTTTAATTAAATATAAGTTTAATTGCATTAGAAACATATTACATGCTTATAAAGCAGTGCGGTGCAATAGTGTGAGCCACATATGTAATTTTAAATTTTCTAATAGCCACATAAAGCTAAAAGAAATAGGTGAAATTTGTTTTAATAATATATTTTATTTAACCCAATACACCCAAAGTATTTCAACATGTGCTCAATATAAAAAATATTAATGAGATATTTTATATTTATTTTTTGTACTAAGTCTTTGAAATCTGATATGTTTTTTGCACTTAGAGCACATCTCAATTCAGACTGGCTGCATTTCAAGTACTCAGTGGCCACAAGTGGCTAGAGAGTCTTGTATTGGACAGCATAATTATAGAGCATTTGGAAAATACAGAAAAATAGATGGAAAAACATGTCTAAAGTGATGCCTACCAGAGACAAGCACTGTCAATATTTTAATCTATTTCTGCCACCTTTTTTTTTTTCCTTGCACATACTATTTTGGTGGATGTTATATGAGGCTGAGATTGTACTCTGGGTTCAGGTTTGCACTCTACTACGTGATTGATTCAGACCCGCAGTTGGTTCAAGGGCCATTGGCCTGGTGGAAAAAGCACTGGCATGAAAGAGAGTCAGTAGATCTCACTTTAGTCGCAGTTGTGCTGTTACGTAGTTGCTTAATCCTCTGGCAGTTACTTAAACTATATGAGCATTTATTTTTTATCTGCAAAGTGGAGGGGTTGAAATACATGATCTTTGATTCTTTTAAAGTCATTGTTTTAAACATGTAAGTCAACTTTAATCAAAGTTCAGTGAAAGAACTCTCTGCCTTGGCACTTAGAGACTGGGAGGTGACTCTAGGATTTTCTGACTTAAACTGTGACATCCTTACTCTTTCCCTTAAGTATACTCTTCTTTTGATCAGAGGTCTGGCTTCTTCTGCGCCTGACTATGTTTATATATCCTGATTTGATCTGTTATTTTTTTAATAGCTGAGAAGCTTCAGCTTATTGATGATCAGTTTGCGGGTGCTTATCCTCAGTGTCCCAAATTAGAGTCTTTAGAAATAAAGTTAAATGAATATAAGAGAGAAATAGAACAGCAACTTCGGGATGAAATGTGTCAAAAGGTAAGCTTTATCTTGTTGCTCTTAACAAGAGTGATATTTTTGCTTGTCTTCTAATATCTTAATCTTAGGTATATGGGAAATATCTAGAACCTTTATTAAAGAATGGGATATTGTACGGTGTGCATATTATTTTTATTTCCAATTATGTCATTTGTTTATGCCTTTGAATGAATCCTACAGGTACAGTGAACGACATAAAACTAAAGATGAACTAAACTAAATGTAACATATTTGGGCAGAACATTAATGTTAAACCTAACAATGGAGAGAAGTTTGTTGCTATTTCTTTAGTATAGTAATTGGTGAATTTTTTGGTATCTATTTGCAGTTGAAGTATTTTAAAGACACTGAAATAGCAAAAGTTAAAATGGAAGAGAGAAGAAAGTATGAGAAGAAATTAACTGAGTTTCGGAATGAATTTGAGAAAGCTTGTCAAGCAAAATCTGAAGCCCTCATTTCTCGGGAAAAGAATACCCTTGAGAGAATTCAAAAGCACCAGGAGGTATGATAATTTATTGAGTGGATATTTCCTGCAGTGGGTTAGTGGGTTGTCTCAAGATCCAGGAACAGGTGGGACAAATGATGGAACAAGGCTCTAGGGGAGCAATAGGGACTGGGCCAAGAGTGCAAATGGAAGGGTGGGCCTTGGAAAGGATACGCAGACTTCCTTCCTCTGAGACTAGGGGAAAGGAAAGAACTGCGGAGGTGAATGTGCATGTCGGGATTATAAGAAATTCACACTAAATAAGCTCCATCTTCTCAGGCAGATTAGAGGATTAGGTAGTGGGTTTTAGGAGTGGCTCGGAGATGTGGAGCCACTGCTGTGCTCAGGGAAGAATAGCTTCTTAAAGCAGAGAGGACTGATCGAGCTGTGTTGAGGGCCTAGGTGATGGGGGGGGGGCCTGGAATTGGGAGAGACCAAACCATTTACTTGTAGGTGAGTTTTCTGTTCTAGCTCTGGGGAGGATTTGTAATTTGTGGCTCTTTTGGTCCCTTTCAGTGAGGACAGAAAGATAGAGGTGCTTGGGGAGTAGAGCTTTGCAGAACTTAATTTATTTAACTCGAGAAAGGCAGCCTATTTAATTGGAGATGCTGGGCCTCTGCTGGGTGGTGAAGGGACCCAGAGGATAGGGAAGGTGGCTCTTAACCTCGGGGAAAAGGAAGGGTTACGTGGCAGCCTCAGTGATCAAGGGATAGGTCCGAAGAGATTGGCAGATGGAAATGGGAATCAAGAGTACCGAGTTGCAGAGTGAGGCTTCAGGTGGAGACTGGAAACAAAATGCAGTGTGCTGCCATTGGGGGAAGCTGCAGAAGTGAGCAAGGGTGAAGTTTCCTGGAGCAGAGGAGTCCAGGGGTGCCAGTGTCATTCACGTGGCCATTTGATCTTGTCACTCAGAGAGGTGACTGGACAGGTGGCAGGGAGTCCATGTCATCAGGAAGGATTGGATCGACTCCTTTGGAAAACATGTTCCTTTCCTAAGTGCATGTCTTAGATCAGACTGGATTTGTGGCACTATTTCCAAAGTACCTCGAAAGCTACTGCTGTCAGGAGATGTTGAAAATAGGAGGACTTCCACCTAGTGTCTACCTTTGCTTGGGGCTTCTCAATAACACCTGGTTGTTTGATGCTAAGTGTATCCCCTCTACAATTTTGTACAGCATTTCGGGGAATTGGGCTCGTTTCAGCTATAGAAATAAAATGTTGGAAGCACAGATCTTTGAGATGATTGGATCATTAGACTAACAACTTTATTTTCAAGATAGGTGACTGCCTAGAACCCCATTTACTTTGATTATCTGAAGGCTTTGAAGAAGGATTGTCATCCTCATAAAAAGCAGCATGTGTTTATTCCTTTACCTGGAATGTCCATCCCCTTCTCTCCCTCAAAACAGTACTGTCCTTCAAGACTCAGCTTGAATATCACCTCGGTAATGCCGTCCCTTGACTCCCCCTGACTCATTCAGGCCTCATTCCTGCATGTGGTATTTATGTACTTTAGTGATGAAATCATCACATCCTAGTGTGATTGTTTGTTTCTCTCTCCCTGACTAAATTGTGAGATCCTTAAAGATGGGGACTGTACACCTTTTTATATCCAGCTCCCGATGTGGTGCTTGACATGTGATAGGTAACTCTTTGTGAAGGGAACACATGAATGGAAGGATGGCCTGTTCGTTCAGGAGTTCATACGAGCTTGCTAACACTGAGTCAGAATGACCCATGAACTGGAACATTCACACACTACCAGTACCATGGGGATTCTATTCTTTTGGAGTTTTATTGCTGAATGCACATTTTGCTTAATTTTTCTTGCCAAAGAACTTAAAATTTTAATTGAGGGACTGAGAGATGTTACTAAGTAGAATAATTAGACAAAGGATGGTAGGAATATAGGGTAATATAGTTTAACAGTCGTTGGGGGAGTAATTTTTTTTTACGCAAGGGAGGAAATTTCTGTGCAACTAGAATAGGCAAAAAGTATACCTTTAATTGGAACCTCTTGAAGGTGAAATTATTACCCTAGATGTCTGTACTTTGATCGTTTTCTGGAATTTAGGAAGCAGTGTGTCAGTTCAAATCTGTTTTTATTTTCTTTAGCTTGCTTGCTAAAAATTAATGATTTCCTATACAGATTGAAACAAAAGAAATTTATGCTCAAAGGCAGCTTCTACTGAAAGATATGGATTTGCTAAGAGGCAGAGAAGCAGAGCTGAAGCAAAGAGTTGAAGCTTTTGAACTGTAAGTAATACATGTTCATATTGGATATTCAGAATGAATGAGAGTAAAAAGAATTACTAAATATTCGTATGTTAAATTGCCAAGAAGAATTCTTGGTTGTAAAGGTGATATCACCTAGCATTAGAAGGTACAACTTAAGAGAAACAAACACTAGGCTTTTGCTTGTGAAATATTAGACATTAAGATGAAAAGCAGAATGGGATACCATCATCAGGCCACAGTAAGACCAGACAGATAATTTGAAGAAGTTAATAATGCTTGAACAGATTGTATGTTTTGCAGTTACATTCAGTCATTCAGATCTGATAGTTTCAGGTGTGTATCGTATAGTAACCGAATTACATATATCTAGGCCTGCAGCATTTACCATTTCTCATGGTGTGCGTGTGTTATTCACTCTCAATGCTGACAAATATTTCATCCTTCAAATCTCACCTGGGATTGATAACAAGCTCACCCATGTGTAATTTGTGCAATAAGCCTTCTTTCTCATTTGGAATCTGCTATTAATTGATACCCATAGATACTCCAGAAATCTTACTTAGTTCATTAAAACATTTGTCTCCGTCTTCATTAATGTTTTCTCACTTCTATCGTCTGGATTCGTTTGATTTCTTCTCTGTATCTACTCCCTTTTTGGCAATATTGAAGAGGTAAATTGATCAAGAGAGAAAAGAAAAGGAACAGAGTTTGGGCAGAGAGAATTCATGATTATACAATCACTTCTTTACCTCCACTTCCTTTATTCCTCTTCCTGCCTTCTAAGCACGTAAGCGAAATAAATGTAGCTTACTGCTGCTATTGGCTTTCCAGATTAGCCAGCAGAGGGAGCTAATACATAGCACCTTTACCTGGTCTTTGACCAGTCAGAGTTCTGTAGCGCTTCTCAGGTTGGCAGGATCTCAGGACCTGTGACCTCTTTGGCTTGGGAATTGGTGCTATGGTTGATTTAAAGTCTCACTATGAAGACCATTCCGTTCTTTGGTTTTTTTTTTTTTTCCGAGACAGAGTCTCACTCTGTTGCCCTGAGTAGAGTGCTGTAGCGTCAGCCTAGCTCATAGCAACCTCAAACTCCTGGGCTCAAGTGATCCTCCCGCCTCAGCCTCCCAGAGTGCTAGGATTATAGGCGTGAGCCACTGCGCCCGGCCAATTCTTTGGTATTTGGAAGCGCTGGTCGAGCCATCTATCTCTTGCTCTCTCTTTTAGCACTCTTCAGTATTCAATCAATAGATTATTAAATGACAACAAATCTTAGTATCTGTGGGCTAATCGATTAGATCCTGCAGTTAGAAGTAGTATTACACAAGAGACAAGCATACAAGTACAGTAACTTTTGTTTATAACATTGTGACTCATGATATCATTCTTTCACCCCTGAATTGATTATAGCTATTTGTCTCCTGCAACCATGAAGTGTTATTTATCTTCTGGAAGAAGCCAATCTGGTCCTCTTTCCCACCACCCCCAGCCAGGTGCCGCCACCACAGGCTCCCTCTGCTAGAGCCCATACACCGTGCCTAGATCAGTTCATAAAACACGTGGAGGACTTTGGGTTCTTCCCTTTTACTTCCTGGTAATGACAGTCACATAACAGTGTCAGTCTATTGAATTAAAAACACATGGTATTTTTTTCTTAAGTTTGTTACCTCAGATATTGTAGTTTATTTGCTCTGTATATTTTTGCTAATTTCAGGACCCAGAAGCTCCAAGAAGAAAAAAATCAAAGTGCGACCGAAGCACTTAGGAGACGGGAGCAGAATTTAAAGAGTATTGAGGAGACCTATGACCAAAAGCTCAAGAATGAACTTCTAAAGTAATTGCTTGGCATTTTTAAAGAAGTAATATGTTTGAATTAAGTGGGTGGAAACGTGACAAAAACTGATGAAGTAGTTTTGTGACTCACATTTTATGGCAAAATTTAGTGTTTGAAAAAAATACATATTTTCATCAAGTCAATCCTTCACCATGACTATTGGAATTAGGATAGTTTTTAAAAGATACAGTATAAAGAATTGCATCCTCTGCTCTTCTTACTCATAGCTTCACTAATATTTATTGAGGGCCTGTGGTTTGCTTTAATTAAAGGGCACCTTGTAAGCTCAGCTTGCATAGTTGATAAGCTATAATTAGGATATCCAACAATTTAGAAATCATCGTACTTAGTGGTCACACTATTTGTCAATGAACATGTGCCTTGTATTCCTTCAAGTTTCTGGAAAGCCAGAATCAAAAGAACTAAAATTAACTATGTGAAACAGTAATATAGGGAAAGGAAATTAAGGACAAGTATGGTTACTTTGGCTTTTCTGTAGTTAAGTTTTGTGTCTCAGTGAATAATATCCTAATGCGAAAACATCATGCCCATATAGCAACTTTTCTCTTCAGTGGGTGGTATAGCATCTGGCACATGAAAGTACTCAGTTAATGTTTGCTAAGTAAATGTATAGTGAGGAGATGACTCAACTAAGATATTCTGGGCATTTTTTATTTGGCCCCTTTTTATTGCCTTGCCCATAATTTGTCATTGATATTCCGTTATATAGTACTTGCAAAGGTTTCTTGGGGTTTATTCTTTAAGCAAATTCTATTAAAAAAAGAAATACAGCAGCTTTTTCATCTATTGATTTTGAAATGATGGGTTTTAGCCACATATTTTATGTCAGCTCCTATACTAAAGTAACAAACACTGAAGTATCTATAGTTGCTAAAATTTTAGGAATAAATGAATAAAAGTGTGTATGCTAATTTTACATGGTTATGGAGATAGTGGACTCTTTGGTATCATTGTGACATTTTCTACAGTCTAGAAGACATCTGTCTGCCTTTGGGGATCCTCATATGACTTTGGCAAGTGTTGGAGCAGGGAGGATGTTCACTGCAGGAGGCTTCTCTTTCCTTTCTCCCATCTCAGAACCAGAAGGGCAGCTGGTAACAGCTGGGGAAGAGAAAGTAAAACTCCATGAAAATGTGCCTTTCGGTATCGCTAATCCAGATATAATGCTCTTGGCAGTTGGTTCTCAAGACTGTGCTTAGCCCCTGAGGGCAAAAGTACTTATCTTGGATGCAGGTGGGGTGATGGTACAGGTGGACCGGAAGTGACTGCCAAGTTATCATCTGGGATTTAGTCTACTGTGTGCTGTGTTAAGTTTAACTTAGTTTATCTCTTTGCCCTTTTTGTCAGTGGAGACTAACTGAAAAGTGATTGCTTTTAGTAACCTCATGATAACATGACTCTTCATTTGGTGTGACTGAGTTTTTGGGACCCAATTTACAGGATCGAGGCAGAGTTTTACTGGACCTTTTATGTTCAGAATTCCAATCCCTGGCCTTAGTACTGAGAGACTTGAAAGTTTACACATTGTCATTTTCAGTGCCCTCAGGCGCCTCTGTGCCATAGATAAACTCCTGTATTGGTAGCAGTCTTTCCAGGAAGATATTTAATAACTGAAGAACTCATTTTTAGTTATTCTGACTCTTAGGTATCAACTGGAACTGAAGGACGACTATATCTTTAGAACCAATAGACTGATTGAAGATGAAAGGAAGAATAAAGGTGATTCTTCAGGGACGGAAACAAAAAGCTATGTTTTTCAGTTCTGATGTTTGGTGTGTTCTATATATTAAAAAACATGTAGCTTAAAAAACACTTCATTGTTCTTACAAAG